TTCGTATTAAAGTGAATTGCTGAATAATAATGTTTTCCATGGGTTCATGTCGCTCACAAATATGCATCTAATTCAAAGCAGATTTCAGTCAAATAGTGAAAAAAAATTATTTCGCACACAAAGGGGGGCTAAAAAAAAATCACCACGCCAGGAGGGGTGAAGGCAGGCGGGTCAGCTGGGACGCACAGGAGGTTTCCCTATTCTTTCTTTCAGGGAGTTGGCAGCCCTACTTCCAAGTGATGTTACCATGGCGATTCCCCCCTTCTTGATGAGTAAAGGGGGGGGAGAACAAGGAGCCTCAAACAATCCGATTCTGTATGAGAACCAAAACAACAGAACTCCTCTGAACCTTCAGATTAGGTTCAGCTGATTCTTTAGGTCCGTTTTCCATCTCTGTCAGCAAAGGAGCGGAGCTGAGGAGGCACCATTATCCAGAAGGAAACACCAGCTCCTAACCGCTCCTTCAGGTGGGATGAGCTCCACGTAAATGAGTCTGAGAGCTCCCCACGGAGCTGCAGGGGCTCTCTGAAGCAGAAAACCCCGTGTTTCCATCCAGGAACCATCTGAGCCGCTAATTTGTCAGAGCGAATGAAGCTGTGAGGCTGACAGCTCATTAAAAGCCTCAGTGTGTTTCCTCCCAGGTAGATGAAGGAGGAATCCCCCTCCTTCCCTTTAATCGTCATGTGTTGCTTCATTTCTGTGAAGATGAAGGCTCGTCCGGCCGTCTGCGTTGCTGCTGCTCGCTTTAATGAGCGGGGAAGGAAACATGCTGAAGTATGCACAGAGATGCATTCTCCCGCGCTCTTTACCCGCCTCAGCAATCACTCCAACATGGCCCCAAAATCTTAACCTGTCTGAGCTTCTTTCTTAAAACATCAAGCTGTGATGTTCCTAATGTCTGCAGCATCGTTGTGATTGTTGAGGTCTGATAAACCTCCTTCAGATCTGAGGGCGTCTGTCAGCAGCAGTCAGCTCTCCACCGCCGCTCGTTAGGATTCAGCATCGTTATCTGACTGCAGAAGGATTTTCCAGAGTCGAATCACAGCAGGGGTCCAGCTGCAGGACCCCATCATAGGTGCATGAAGTAAAGCTGCAGTATTTCTTCTCTGCAAACAGCCACCGGCTTCTCTTAATGAAGTGCTGCATAATAAAAAAAAAAAAAAATGGAGGTTGTTAGATTAGAGAATCAGCAAAAAAATGATGTTTTTCTATCCATTTCAATTCAGGAATAAATGAAAAAATTGAAAAGTCTGGATTATTTAGGTGAAGATTCTTAGTCATCCAGGTCAGAGTCATTCCAAAAAGGATAAAAATCAATCCGCTGGACTTTGTTTCCAAGTTTGAAGACGTTTCACTTCCCATCCAGGAAACTTTTTCTATTAAAAAGGTCAGAAATAGCGTTTAGTTCCAGGTTTTATCCAGCAGCCCAACAAAGCCTGGTTTTAGTTTAGAAAACATGCAAATAGAAACGGAAGTTCGGGTCCACCTGCGATGGACTGGCGACCTGTCCAGGGTGAAGAAATGAACTCTATGGCTGCATTGTAGGTTTTGAAGGAGCTATAATTTTAATTCTATACGTTATTTAATGGAAAAACCGCAATTAACCCTTTAAAGCCAAGTGTATCATATTTGATACAGGAGATTTTGAAACCTCTGCAGCATCAGTGTGAAGTTTTTGTTCTTCAAACCCTGACTTACATAATCAGACACGTAGCAGAAAACATATAAAAGATGATATAGAAATGCATAATATATCGAAATTGATGCAAATAAATGATGTAATTTAATGTTTTTACAAAATTTATATAGTTATTTCATTTGTCACAAAGTTCAATGACTATTCTAATTTTGGAAAATTAGAATCTTCTGTCNCAATCCTCTGGACTTTGTTTCCAAGTTTGAAGACGTTTCGCTTCCATCCAGGAAGCTTTTTCAATTCAAAATGTCAGAAATAGCGTTTAGTTCCAGGTTTTATCCAGCAGCCCAACAAAGCCTGGTTTTACTTTAGAAAACATGCAAATAGAACCAGAAGTTCGGGTCCACCTGCGATGGACTGGAGACCTGTCCAGGGTGAAGAAATGAACTCTATGGCTGCATTTTAGGTTTTGAAGGAGCTATAATTTTAATTCTATACGTTATTTAATGGAAAAACCGCAATTAACCCTTTAAAGCCAAGTGTATCATATTTAATACAGGAGATTTTGAAACCTCTGCAGCATCAGTGTGAAGTTTTTGTTCTTCAAACTCTGACCTACATAATCAGACACACGTAGTGAACAGAAAACATATGAAAGATGATATAGAAATGCATAATATATCGAAATTGATGCAAATAAATAATGTAATTTAATGTTTTTACAAAATTTATATAGTTATTTCATTTGTCACAAAGTTCAATGACTATTCTAATTTTGGAAAATTAGAATCTTCTGTCAATTGTTTCCTGGTTCAGGCTTTAAAGGGTTAAGAAAGTTGATATTTTAAAGTTAGATGAAGATATTCATTGATTTTAGCACGTTTATAATGTAAACAACATAAAAAGAAAAGCTCTTTGGGCGTGCAGGTGGCCCAACATGACCCGGGTTCGAAACCGTGCTCTCATTCCCCCTTTCCTGTCAGCCTACTGTCAGAAAAACAAGCCATTAGTGTAAAAACTAAAAAAAAGAAAAGCTCTTTATGTGGGATAGACTGATAACAAGTTTCACTTTTTACTACAATGGATGAATTCATGATTTTTTTAGTTTATATAGATAAAAAGGTCAATATTTGGAAGAACTTGATCTCAGCAGGATTTATCCGCCTCCATCAGGATCACAAGCTTTAATGAGAAAGTGTAAAAACCAATCAGCGTACTGTGTGGTTCAATAGAATCAATGACAGTTCTCCGTACAACCTTTATCTAAAAAGCACAGGAGAGAAAGGATAGAAATAGAATGAATAGAAAAGCAAAGGTTGGGTCCTGAGGAAATCCTGGAGGAACGGGGAGCAGCTGGATTAGCAGCTCTGGTGATGATGGTTCCTGCGTTCTTGTCCTGCAGTGCACCGTGTGGGACTGGGACTCCAACGGGAAACACGACTACATCGGGGAGTTCGAGGCCTCGTTCACGGAGATGAGGGGAGCCATCGATGGGCGACAGGTGAGGCGTCACCATCCTCCTCCCAAAAACCCTGCAGGTCTGAATCTATCTGCAAACTGCGACTGGAAGTCTTAAAAACACCAGAACACGTTATTAAGATTGATGTGTTTGATATAAAAGCTATTAGCAGTCTGGATGTGGACTGCAGGTTTATCGGCTCCTAAAGGTCGTCCTTCGGCTTTAAATAGAGCGGGAGCTCAGGCGGCTGGTTCAGCTGGCAGACAGGCGCTCAGGTATCTGCTCTCTGCACGTCTCCCTCTGCTGCACAATCAATTTAGCGACTCAGCGAGTGTCAGACTGAGCGACACCGCGGCCTGAACACCCTGACACACACCAGGCCGCGCTGCCCTGCTGCCCGCCCTTATCGGCCTGAGCTGTTGGTGAGGAAGGAGACACCTGCTGGTCCACCTGCACAGATCTTCAGACAGATCATTCATGGTTGGTTCCTTCTTCTAATGAAGGACTTAAAGTCTGTTCTGAGGAGCAGGAATTAAAGTCTAAGGAGAAATAGATCCAGATGTTTCCTTCATCATCAGTGATGTTATTCAGGTGAGCTCTTATTACCTGAGATCTTCTCCAGTCCTGAAGCTGCTGCTTTCTGATTTGAATCTTCTTCCAGAAATGCTCCACAGAGAGGAGCTTTGATCTTGGATGAGCAGGAACCATTGTTCCTGGTAAAAGTCCAAACCATGACTATTTGTTTTGAGGGGCATCAGCACTGCAGCAGTGGAACAGGCCCACAGCATGATGCTGCCACCACCATGCTCCACCAGTTACTACTGTAGCATCAAATTCAACAGTTTTCTGTCCATGGAGCCGGCTGCACTGAAGATGTCTGATCTGGAAGAAGGACTTCTCAGTTTATGGTGATTTTCACTATCGACAGTCATAGTGGCGTTCCAGCCGTTTCTTCAGCAGCATCCAGTTTTTGATGGCAGGCTTTAGCCTGAGTGATGATTCCTGGGTTATTCCTGGTCCCTGGGTCATTCCTGGGTGGTTCCTGGTTCCTGGTTTATTCCTGGTTTATTCCTGGTTTCTGGATGATTCTTGTTCCTGGATGATTCCGGGTTCCTGGGTGGTTCCTGATTCCCGGATGATTCCTAGTTCCATGGTGGTTGCTGGTTCCTGGGTGGCTCCTGATTCCCGGATGATTCCTGGTTCCTGGTTCCTAAATGATTCTTGTTCCTGGATGATTCCTAGTTCCATGGTTGTTCCTGGGTAGTTCCTGGATGTTTCCTGGTTCCTTGTTTATTATTGGTTGATTGGTGGTTCCTGGGTGGTTCCTAATTGATTCCTGGTTCCTTTGTAGTTCCTTGGTGGTTCCTGGATCCTGGATGATTCCTGTTCCTTAAAGAATCATGGTTCCTTGGTGGCTCCTGATTCCCGGATAATTCCTGGTTCCTGGATGATTCTTGTTCCTGGATGATTCCTAGTTCCATGGTGGTTCCTGGTTCCTGGGTGGTTCCTGGATGTTTCCTGGTTCCTTGTTTATTCTTGGTTCCTTGGTGATTCCTGGGTGGTTCCTAATTGATTCCTGGTTCCTTTGTAGTTCCTTGGTGGTTCATAGATCCTGGGTGGTTCCATTTCCTTGATGATTCCTGTTCCTGAAAGAATCATGGTTCCTTGGTGGTTCCTGGTTCCCGGGTGGTATCTGGATAATTCCTGGTTTCTTGGTGGTTCCTGGTTGCTGGATGATTCCTGGTTCCTGTTTTTTTTCATCGTTTCTGGGTGATTCTTGAGTGGTATCTGTGTGATTCCTAGGTGGTTCCTGGTACCTGGGTGGTTCCTGGTTGGTGATTCTTCAGTGTTATCTTTGTGATTCCTATGGTTCCTGAGTGGGTTGTGACTGGGTTCTTAGTGGTTTCTTTTTTATTCCTGGTTCCTGGGTTGTTTTTTTGGTGATTCCTGAGTGCTTCCAGGGTGATGTCTTGATAGTTCCTTGAAAGTTGGGGATATTAAGGTATTCCATAGAAAGTTGGTTCCCAAACATGTCCAGACTGGTTTTTTATCTACATCAAACAGGTTAGCAGTGAGCTTCAGGACTGATTCCTATTAAACTTCATTTATCATTAAAAACAGCAAACTAGAACTGCTTTATTTTCCTTCATTTAAATTCTTTAGAGGATTAAAAGTTCCTGTCAGAAATTTCTGGAGGAAATGTAGAATTAACCAAACCTTCAAAGGAAGAAGTGAACCATCCATAGCTGAGGAAATGAACTGTTTCAGAGGCCAAATGTTCTGTTGATCAATTGAAAGGAATTAATGAAGGATTTACCAGAACTTCCTCCTATTTCTGCTTTCAGAACTTTGACTGTTTCTGGTTTCTGCAGTTTTTGCAGCTGATTATTTTAACCTGAGGAATTCAAGCTGCGTGTTTTTCATCTGTGATAAAAAAGTAGAACCATATTTTCTCCTGACATCACATCCGCCTGCCTCCGACTCTGTCCAGGTTTGGATCAACTCCCGGGGGATCAGTCTGACCTGGAAGCGGCCCATTAGCCCTGCTTGTTTTCTCTAATTGAAAAATTATACTTTAAGATTATAGAGCTTAGAGCATCTTTGATCAATAATAGTTAATAAAGGGTCTAATGAATCCAGATAAAGGTTCCCCTGAAGGAATACGTCATGTTCCCTTCATTCCCAGTATGTTCTGTGGGTTTCCATCCCGAAGCAGCTAACAGGCCGATTTCTCAGCTTCGCTCCTCGGCAAACGAGGTTCCTCACAGACGATCTCTGGAAAGACAACAGAATTCCTGGGCAGAAGAAGCCGGGCTCGTCAGCATTAGAGGCTGACAGTTTAATGAGGTCCAGCCTCCAAATCCGTCTCTGTGGAGAGTTCCCAAAGATGGAACCTCCCAGATCCTCCTGAGCTCCTCGCCCCTCTCTTCCAGAACCATCCCTCTCTGCCTAAATGAGAAATGGACCTGCAAAGTTCTGTTCTAATTCCAGTTTTACCCCCATGGTCAGAAGAGAGGGGAGAGCATGGAACCTTCCT